TCCACCCGGGCTGTGGCTGGCGGCTGCCAGACCCAGACGTGTGCCTGGGCTCGGGGTCCCAACATGGGGAAACGGGAGGCGCGCGCTGATGATAAGCACGTTAATGCCGAGCGCCGGAGCCATTTGTAGCCAGTAATCCGGTGACCTGGGCGGCGGGTCGGGGCGCGCGTGTCCCACCCCAACCTCTGCTGCTTCAGCAGCTCCTGGCTGCGAAAAAACACCGGGATCGTCGGTGCTTTAGGGGTGTTTAATCGTGCTGCGTGGTTTCATCCTGCACGGATGTGGGATGCTCGCGCTCCTCCCGGGGCCGGAGCACTCTGGGGGCCCTGGCTCCCATTTACGCGGCTTCTCCTAAAAATTGAGCGCGTGGAAATGCTGTCTGCCTCTGGCCGCAAAATCGCTATCTTTGACTACAGGATCGAAAACCAAGGCGATCATTTGGGATTGGGCATGGGGAGGTGAAGCGCAGCTGCCAACAGGCACCGCCTGCCTTGCCGGAGGGGGGGGGGGGTCCAAAACGTATCCTGAGCATCTTCCTCCTCCTCCGGTGCCCAGCGGGCAGCTGCGGGAGGAGGCGAGGGGCCGCAGGTCTCGGCTGCGGCACACGGGGAGAGAGTAAAATATCATTTTAAAGAGGAAGCGAAAGCGCAGGCATGTGAGTATATAACGAGAAGGACAATTTATGCCCAGGCACGAGTGCAGTTTGACACGGGGATAATGAAAAAACGTAGGTCATTGTGGATGACTTAAGCCTTCACAGCTGAAGAAAATGTATGAAATGCGGGGAACATTACACGCTTGGCAGCTCCGCACATCTGCAGCAGGACAAGTGAAATACAGTTGGCCATTCTTTACCATAAACTGTGCTTGTAGGATATGCGGCACAGAGAAATTGTAATTACAGTGACAAGACAAATCAGTAATATTTAAATATTCATGAACAACGTCTCGGACGATCAATCTATCTTTATTGTCCTTGCCTTCGCGGCTGTAATAAATAAGTAGCTGGAGCCCTCACCTTTCCTTCAAATCATTCTGCCTTTGGTGCCGAACCGGAGTTCATTTATCAGCCGCCCGGTCTGGAGCGCGGGAGACGCCCGGGGCCGGGTCTGTGCTGGCAATGCCAGGTGAAAAGCCTGGGAATTGGTGGCAGGAGGGTCACGGTGCCCTCCGGTCTCTTTACCCTGCTGCGGACCCGAGCATCCCCTCCGCACAGGGACTGGCGTGCCGCGCTGGGGTGGCTGGGACGGCTCCATCCCCCGGGATGGCGGCAGCGGGTGCCGGGCGTAAACCCAGGCCGGGGAGCTCGTTTTGGCGCGGCACGATGGTGGCTCTGACACGGGCGTGTGCTTGCAGGCGACCACCCCTACGAGTGCGAGTTCTGCGGCAGCTGCTTCCGGGATGAGAGCACGCTGAAGGGCCACAAGCGCATCCACACCGGCGAGAAGCCCTAGGAGTGCAACGGCTGCGGGAAGCA